ATAGCAAAGTCAGGTGATAATAAGTTGCAAGAAAGACTTCTATTTCTAATAATTTCAACATTAGTTATTTTTAATAATGAAACAATAGAGGAAAACCTATTAGAAATAGAAGCGGTAAAACTTCTGAGCAAATTACTTGTTAGAACAGCATTGAGAATGAAAAAAGTTGAATCAAATAAGTTAAAAAAGGAAAGGTCTCATATAGTAACTCTGGAAGAAGCTACAATGATGGAAGAAAAATTAGGAAGAGAAGTTTTATTTTCACGTTCTGAAATTCAGCAAAATATTGGTCAATTAGAAAACCCAAGTTCATATGAAAGTTATTTTGATGTATTACCCAAAATTATTTGCGATTTCTTTCAAGCCTTCATCATAGTACTACAATAACAAAAATAAAATGTTATTAATAAAAAGAGGCTTTAACGTGGACTTCTTCTAAAATCACTCAATATAAGTCAAATATCAAAAACAACCACTTTATTAACCTTCATGCTACTAATCATCGCTTTTTCTAAAATGAAAATCTAGCTTTCCCACATGATATCATTAATATGCCAAAAGCAAAAATTGCTACCATACTTATGAGAGATCCTTTATTTAACATGTATCATATCTTACACTAAGCGGCATAAAAATCATCTTGAAAAATTTAGGATGCATCATATAAACCTTAGAGAGAATTTGATCGAAGGATCAAATATTTAGAATTTGACAGTAATTGACAATATCAATTTCAAAGCTTCTATATTCTCATATGATAATATTTTTGATATTACACAACAAACTTCATACGTAAAATTATGAATAGTATTCAGTTCACTATTTCAACCTTGCTTGATGACCTAATTGGAAACTATGAATCCATTAATCAACCACTATTTGGGAAGTCTTTAACTACTAATGACCTTTTAATGATGTATGAGAATATTTTGAATATAATATTAGAGACTTGTGTGAATGAATTTGATATGAAGGATGTACACTCAGAAATCACTAAGCAAGTATCTATAGGTTGCAATACTTTACCACTAAACTTTG